GGGAGGAGACTGGAGAGACCAGGATATGAGTTACCCTGAGACCTCTCCAGCTTCCTTCTCTGAAAGGCTGCAACTTGATAGGGGGAAAAAATCCTTCAAGTGAAAAACGTAGGAGGGCCTGTGTTGGGAAGTGCACTGTGATTGGCAGCAGAGTTGTCTTATATAAAGAAAGCATGAAGACAAATATACAGGCCAGAAAGAGCTTACAAGACATTCAGATCAACTTCATGACTTTATACACTTCATCAAAGAAGGATAGCTTAAGCTTTTCTCAGTGAGAGAGCACATGTTGCTTACTGCAGAAGTGAAGAGGAGGAGGAAAGGGAGGGACCAGGAGAAAGTTATACGATAACAAGAAGGAGGGACAAGTGAAGCAGCTGTTGATGCAACATGTTCTCTCACACTTCCTAGTGCCTGGAAGCATGTGGAGATCCTCTCATTATCTGACAGGGAGGACAAGGAAGTGAAGAATACCTCCACAACTCTGCATAGAATGACCAGAAGTCTCCGAGTTTGAATTTGGAAACTTGCAGTCATTGAAGATTGTGCCCTGAGTGTGCTGAGATAACAACATAATCATTGTGTGGCAGCTTGAGTGTCAGGCGTGGGGACATGGGAGATCCAGGCTCCAGTCCCTGCTCAGCTATGAAGCTCACAGGGTGACTTTGGGCCAGTCATTCGCTTTCAGCCTAGCCTATCAAACAGCATTGTTGTTGTGATAAAGTGGAGCTTTGTAAGCCATCTTTGTTTTCTCACAATAGGAAAAAAGGCAAGATATAAGTGCAATGTAATGATAAAATAATAATTCATCAGGATAAGAGTTGCAAAATACCCAAAAGCTCCCTTCTATGAGGCAGGACTGCCCATCCACATGCAATCTCCAATTTAAAAAGCAAACCATGTAATTCAAATCACATTGCATGCCACAAAGAGATGCTTTCCATGTATCGCAGAAAGCAGTTTAGAGGTGAGCTAAATTTTAAAAACAAAACATACAGGGTCATTGCACAATAGACCGGGGAGAATTTGTTTTCTCCTCAGTGTATTTGTTTTATTTTCAACATGCCTGCATCACTTTGCTGCCAGAGACAACTCAAATCCTTTCGCAATGAATTAATTCAATAAGAAAGCATCTCAAATAATTCTGACAAAGTTCAGAGTTTACCAGAATGATAGCAAAGGGAGCAGCATTTTCCCTCAAAACAATTAAAACCAAAACCACCAGAGGTCTGCTAAAATGGTACGAATGCTTAACTTGCTTCCCAAGGGCAAAGTTACATGATACGAGGAACCCAGGGCCACTGGTGGGAATATGTGGTTTAGCATACCCAAAGTCCTGACATTGTTAGACTAAGCAGTTCCTACTTCACTCTACACGCTAAATTCACTGAGACACTACGGAGCTGAAAGGTACTTTCATGCATGACTGCCATTTTCAGCAGAATATCCACACAAGACTAGTGTTTTCAGCAACAGCACTGTGTTCAATATCTTCAGTAAAATGTTAGACTTCAATAACATGTTCAATGGTCAGCCTCTGGGAAAGGTATTCCACAGCTACAGGGCTACCTTGGCAAAGGCTCGATTCCAGACACCACATACCTTACAGCTCTGAATGTTTGCTAGTTCTTCTAAGTAATAAATTCTGGATTAACTCCATCTATCCATAGACAAACTTTGCCTAAGATAAAGTTGAAAGTATGTATTTCCTCCCACCCCACCCCTTAGTCTTAATTGAGGATGAAAATAGCAGTGGTACGTTTTTTTCTTCTCTCCATTTAACTTGAGATAATTACGTTCATTTGGATGATGCATGCCTCCTTCCAACAGAACACTGAACATTGACCCGAGGCCCACCATTCCAGGGAATTTATCTAATAAACCCTTAGCATGCACATTCTTGCTCTCTATAGAGGGTTGCATGCTAGGCCTGCACTTTACGGAGGAATGTCCTGTGCAGTTTCTAATATATCACATGAATGCTCCCCTTAGTTTTTGTTCTTCCAAGGTCCTCCTGGGGGCCTTTTTGGCTAATGGGGCAGGATCTAAATTTAATAAATAAATAAGTGGAGCAATTTTGTGCTTGCGTTTTTTTCCATTACATACATCTGAATATGATTTTATTTGTATTAGAATTGTGTTGCTGGATCAGATCAAAAGCCACCCGGTGTCATAGCTGCAAAACATAGGGTGCAATCCTATTCATTTTCTGCTGGAGCAAAGTCCTACATCTCCTAGCGTTCCCCAGGCATCTATGGTGAAAGCGAATGCTGGGAGTCATAGGGGGTTTTTCCCAGCTAACGACATATAGGCTTGGACCCTTAATAGTTCATTGGTTAGAACACTTGATCTTTTGGCTAGATAGGTGTTCTGATTAATTAGGCAATAAGCTGTCTGTTTTTAAAAAGATAATTAGTTTTTAAAAACAATTTTTAAAATAATGTTTTGGTATATGACAGATGAATCAGAATGTTTATGGTTGTTATTATTGTTTTAGTTGTTTTACAGGATGGTTGTATTTTATTGGATAATTTTTAGCTGTTTTAAATTTTATAAGTTGCTTTGAGTCTTTTTTTAAGGTATTGATGGAATCTAATAAATAACACAACTTAAATCATCTTAAAAGAGATATTCTCTCTTCTTTCTCTCTTTCTTGCACACAAGTTAATGCTTCTTCTGAGGTCTTGCCATGCTAAGACACATGTGTGAAACTGTTGAAGAGCAAAATAAGCCTTTTACTACCTATGTTTTACTAGCGTGCATATTTAATTGATGGCTGTAACATTTACAGTGAAATCATAGGATCTTTGAGTGACATTCATCTAATCTGTTCCTTCCAAGAGCAAAACCAGTAAGGACCTTTTAGAAGGAGCATAAGCAGGACATCAAGATCATTTGCTGTTGATTAAACATGCAGGCCTTATTTAATCGTCACTGTTAACAGATGTTAGTAAACCTTTCCTCTATGATGGCCTTCTTGAACCTCACACCCTCCAGATGTGTGGAGTACAACTTCCATAATTCATAGCCAACACACCCACTGGAAACTCTGGTTGCGGGGTCTGTGAATTGTGTTTCTGCACATCTGGTAGACAGCAGGTTGGGGAAAGCTGCTCTGTGAACTTATCTAATCACCCTTTTCTTTTCCAGTTACTTTCTTTTAAAAAGGCCATCTGAGCTAATCTCTATTTTCACATGTTGTGCTGGTGAATCCCACAAATTAATTCTATGTTCTGTGAGGACATACGTCCTTTTGCCTTTCCTGGACTTTATTGTAAGTCACCTTGAACAGATGACATTGTTATATAGAGCTATGAGAGAGATAAACATTTATAAAACGCAAATCATGTAGAGGCAGTAAAGAAATATTTTTTTCTCTTTCTGTGCCTTCTTTTAGTCCTCTGTCTTTTATAAAGTAAGATGTTTCAGTCTCATAAGGCATATGCTCCATTCCAATGTTCTTTATGGAGTACAATCCATGTTAATTTAGGCATATCTCCTACTGAGTTGAAAAGGATCTACTACCCAGATATGTGTGCCTAGGATTGCAACCCTGAGGTGCAATTCTATAATGATGAGACTTGTGTGTGTGTTTTTTTTTAACTTAACTCCCAGCATTCCCCAAGCAGTATGGCTGGCTGGAGAATTCTGGGAGTTGAAAGATATCTTTCTGTCTAAACATGTATAACATTCTGTCCTTAGTTTTCTGGACCTTTTCATTTTCCAGTGCTTTCTGAGATGGGGAGATACACACTATTCTAAACAGAGCCTGACCATGGAGTTATTTTTCTAGGTTAGGCCATTGACTAGCTCAAAGCTTCATGGCCAGGTGAGGACTAGAATCTAGATTTCCCTTGTTCCAGTCCAACACTCCAACTGCTGTACCAGACGTGTGTGTGTGTGTGTGTAACTGGAACATCCATTACCAATTTGCCAAATACAAAGTATGGGATCTTCATGCTAAAGAAGTATGGGACTCAGTGCTAATGAACAGAGCAACTCATCATATTTAAAACAAGAAAAAGGTGTGACATCTGCTGTGGTTGTACAGATAGCACGGTAAGGGTGCTTAGTGTATTTAACACATGTTCAGATTCTGTGCAGAGCCAGGCTTACCTACATCTGTGATGCACCAACCCTGCATAGGATTGGGCTGAACAATATATAACATATGAGTTAGGGTCACATATCCCCTCTGCTGAAGCCTGCTGGATGGACAAGTTGTGTGCTGCTGCCATTGTGCCTAATAACATTGCTGCAGTTTGCTACCTACCACAGCTGTGCAGCTCATCCAGTGAGAAGCAGCCTTCACTGGCTTCAGATCAACACCTTGGTGGCCTTTTAGCAAATTAGCTGTCGTGGACATGTTAACAAATGAATTGTGGATTAAATAAATGTGCAAACTGTACACTGTCCAGCTGTATGCGCCATATCGAATTCTTGTGCCTTTGCTTGTCATTTCAGCCTGGAAAGGTATCTGAGCCTCACAGCTTCAAAGAGAAGGTATTTAAGAAGAAGAAAAAGGCATGTGTCGTTTGTAAGGAATCCATTGAAGTCCAGGGACTCGTCTGTAAAGGTAAAAACTCTCCTGCTATCCCAACCACCTTTCAAGGGCTAAATTCTGTTTCAGAGAAACTTCCTGAGAGTGGTGGGCAGGCCAAAGGCAGAAGAAGCAGAAGCCGAGCTCAAAGGGGTGGGGCCAAAAATACAAAAACCACCAGCAGGTTGTAACTTATAGCTTTTGCTGTTTCCATCTAAACAGCTGCCTCCCACTCCCCAGCATCTTTAATCACAGAGTGGCTGTAGAGCTGCTCTGGGCTTTAAACCGTCAACCAAACTCACCGTTGCCCTGTTCACAGCGCTCTACTTAGTGAAAAATGCAGGAGAGTGTCTTCCTTTAAGGCTGCAGAGTCTAGCTCTGGAATGTCTCTTTCTTTTCTGTTGCAGTGTGCAAGGTGGCAACCCATAAGAAATGTGAAGCCAAGGTAAGGTCAATCAGAGAGTTGGGTTCTGGGCTCTTTGGAGACATGGTGGCCTAGTTTTGTAGAATCAAAGCAGGGAAAATAAGCCTTATTTTTTCTGCTGCACCTGCCTGCAGGAGTTGCAGCATCTCACCTGCTAGAGTGTCTTACTGCCCTGACTAACCAGCCACCCCAGCACTCTAAAACTGGCATGTTTATTCTGGCTTGGCTTGCTAACCGTGGCAACAAGCCACTATCCCCAGGATCACAAGCCACACTGTTGAGGGGAATCACTCAAACCCAACAGGTACGTGGGACAGGTGAAATAAGCTGCTGTACTTTATTTCCCTTGCCGTCTTAGTGCAAACCAGGTCACTCCATGCAATTTGAAATTCAGTATATATTCAGCATAGACACATGTTCCTCGTGCCTGTTGGGAATCTCCCCCACTGCAAAGGCTTATTCAAGTACGTGTGGGAGCAAGAAAACTCCCACAGCCTGACATTCTGTTCCTTGTGTGGGTCTGTTAGTTCTGTGCTGAAGTGTACGTGCCGCTATTATGAGACAAACACTGCATCCTGCATTTTTGACCGCTCAGTGTTAAAAAATACTGGAAGCAGGGTGCATGAAAAGTTTTGGCTCTCTTGGAGCCCTGAAAACAGCTTAATTACTTTGGGGGACACAGTTCAAGCCTTAACACTCGAAAGGGGGAAGCATTATCATTTTATTTATTATTTACACAGCTCCATAAATGTGGAGCAAGAGCAAGATCATTATCCAGAGGAGCATACAGTCTCAATTTCAATGACGCACATAGGAAGGAAAGAGAGGTAAAAGTTGGGGTACACAAGAAAGAGTGAATGTAACCCCCTGGGGGTTTGGGTGGCATAAGCCAGGTTTTTAATGTTTGGGTGACAAATAGGTTGCAAGAATTTCCCTGAATTCAGATTACAATTTAAAAGAACTAAGCAGAGGTCAGCCTAAGGTTAGTAGCTGAACAGTCCTTCATCATTGTTTGGTAACAACCGGTTTCCATGGGTAGTACAGCAACTTTCAAAATCTATACATAGAGCCAGTGTCAAGGGTAGGCATGCTTGGGCATCCGTCAAGAGTCCATATCTCACTGGGGCCCATTGGCCAGAGCCCTTTAGACTGGTTTCCCGTCATTTTCCCTATTACTCAGCTGCATTCTTTTTTTTTAAGGCTTGGACTGTCCCTGAGACAGAAGAAGAGACGGAGCTGGGAAACTGCCATGCTGGGAGATAGATGAAGGGTCATGTAGCTCTGTGCTTTCCTGTTGGGACTTTCCTGCAGATAATTTGCAGCCAGGCATGCTGGGGCTGCCAGAGCAGGAAAGCTGCAGTGGAAAGGCTCTGGCTAAAGCCTCGGAATGCTCCGCGAGGGAAGTGTGGCATGGCACAAAGCGCCAGTCACACAGGAGCATGAGGGACCATGTTCACCACTTAGAGGTTGGTAGGAGTGGGGCAGCTGCAGCTCATGGGAACAAGCTCAAGCCAAGAGGTAAGGGTCAGATGGCACGATCCGAAGGGAAGCTGCAGGGGGCTGTGCAGCTGCTTCTGAGCACAGTGGGAACCTTTTTGTCTGCAAGCAGGCCCGTAGCTATGGATGGTGAGACGCAGAGAAATGCAGAAGGTTCAGTGCTGTGTTGAAAGCCAAAGTCTTCTGTTTCTGCTGATGATTCAGTCTGAGGTACAAAGACGGTGTGTTTTAGAGACTTGAATCTAAGGTTCTGATTTAACAGTAATTATAGGGAGAATATATAGCATGTTCTACAGTGCAAAATGCTTCACATGAATTTTCTAAACAGCCCTGAGAGGTAGACCAGTATTATTATCTTCATTCTGCAGATGGATGTGAGGTGGAAAGGGTCACTTGGGGCACAGCGGAAACTTGATCAGGAGTTTCCTCAGCTTTTTGCCCTTAGTACAATGAATTGATTTTTTTCCAGTTCAGGGGTGGGCATAAAGCTTTTGGTGGACAGCATATGGACTTTTATTTCTCTTAGCTCTATCAAGGCTCCTGCATCATATGTGTCCCGATATCCCCTGTAGTTACTTTTCCTTGTCGCTCTTTTTCTTGGGGCTGCTACTGTCCTCCTATCTTGGATTCTGAGCAAGTTTTGAACTTCAGCTCCCAGCATTCCTGACCACCAGTTATGCTGGCTGGGGCTTATGGGTGTTGAAGTCCAAAACATTTGGAGGGCACCGTATTGGGAGAGGCAGTGCTGCAATATCAGAGGTTTACTCTCAGATCACTCATCAGCTCCCTTGCCCCTCCCTGAGTTTTCAGCCAGGCTAATAGGTAGGCCAAGAAACTGTAATTCCTTACTTGCCATTCACCTGCCTTCTACTATGGTACCTTTTGTCCCCTCAAAGCAGGCGGCTCATGCCTTGCATTCCAACCAGAGAGTTTTAAAGGCACATATTGCTGTTGAATTGCTTCCCAGGAAGGGAATCAGTTGGGATCCAGCTTGTCATTCCCTATACTATAAACGAGAAACAGGAAGGAAACCAAGGCTACATCTCCCTGCCTTGGGGTTACATTTCTAACATCCTGGGAATACAACTAACAAGCAACCCCTGCCCCCTGAATTTTGGAATAATTCCTACAGTTGACTATTATCTAGCAGATTTGGTTGAACTGTGTTGTTCCCCCACGGAGCTTGATTCAGGGACAGTCCCAGGAGCTGGGCCATAGACTCTGCCGAGATCCAGACCTCTGGCCCCTTAAGCCCACATGGGGCCACTCTTCTAAGTTGTGTAATTATGGCCTTGGAGCCAGGCCAAAGGCTGCAGCTGGAGGACCAGCCACTTAACTCCAGGCTGCTGCTGTTCTTGTTCTGGGGACATTTTTTCTTTCTTTTTAATTGCGGGATCGTGGGCCATTTCTGCAAACACAGCTCTGCTCTCTGGAAAGGAGAGAGCATTTCCGGGAGGACGCAGTGGGAGGAGACGCAGTGGCGATGCTGGAAGGAGGGCCCAGTAGTGAGCAGGTTTAGTCTCCATCCATGGGACAGCTAGCCAGTGCTGCTGGTTCCCTTAATGCTGCCCCCGCTGGGACAGAGGGAAAAAACTGCCTGTGCTTCATGTGAGCAAATAGAAGAACTGCAACCTACCTGGTGTAGGATTGTCATCTCCAAGCAGGTGGGCAGGAAGAGTGTTCTTCAAGGGAGGACTATACTATGCAGGGACTATACCCTGATCTTCAGGAGGAGACAGTAGCTCAGTGGCAGAGCACCTGCTTTGCATGCACAGAGCCCCCAGTTCAAGCTCTGGCAGCTCCAGGCAGGACTAGGAAGGATTGCTGCCTGAAATGTTGGAGAACCATTGCCCCTAATCATTGTCTCCAAAGGTGCGACTCAGTAAAACAACTTCCTATGGTCTGGCAGAGATATACATTTGTCCCTTTCCACATGGGGGTGGTAGGCCCTGGGAGGAAGGCTGGTCAGTCAGTGGAAGCTAGGAAGGAGTGGGTGAAAAATCCCAGCTCCCTGAACAAACTGCTTTTACGTATCATTGGCATGCATATTCAGTTATATCCTACATTTATGCTCTCTATTTGCCACAATAGCCAAATCCTGATAGCCCCTCCTGATGATGAGTTAAAATTTGTATCCTGCCTTTCCTCTGAGGAGATCAAGGCAGCCAGCGTGTTTTCCCCAGTTCCCCAACTCTGTCATCCCCCTGACAGCTTTGTGAGCTACCATAGGCTACAAAAGTGTTTAGCTCCAGGTTCCTCGGTGAACTCAGTAGCTCAGCAGGGATTTGAACCTGGGTTCTCCCCAGTCCTGATCCAACCACTGCATCTTTGCTTGGATCCAGATGCTGGGAATAGATAAACAAAGGCAGCCATCTCTTTTGCCTTAGTTGCGTGTGAGCTTCCCAAAGATATCTGACCCCTGTTGGAGACAGCACTTGACTACATGGACTTTGCCTTCATTCAATAAAACAGTTCTCATGTTTGTATTTCTAAAGTTCAGAGCAGCTTACTGCTGCACTGTACTCCGTGTGTTCGGTTGGACCTATAACGGCACATGTCCAGGGCATCTGGAGGGCTACACGCTTTCATGTGAACTTGCATGTTTGCTAAGACTGTTGTTGAAGGCCCTTCTCCAAGTGCAGAAGTTAGGTGAGTGATGACTGCGCAACTTTGTGATTGTGTGATATGCTCCCGGGAGACGCATTGTGTATGCCTTCTTTTATTCACTTTTGGGGTACAGCAAGGAAGAGCAGCAGAATCCATGCTTAGCATGCACAAGGTCCAGGTTCAACCTCTGATATCTCCAGGTAGGGATAGAAAAAGCTGCCACTTGAGACACTGGGCAGTTGCTGACAGTCAGGGCTGGAGGGACCAAGGGTCTAGGTTCAGTTTTCCTGACAGCAGCTTTCCTAAGGCAGCATCCTGTATTCCTGTATAGAGTAATATTTTTTTGGCATGCTTTAAAAAAATGACTTGGTTGCTGATGGCTTCTTTGTGGTTAACCTCCTCTTTACTGTAATGAAAAGTACAAGTTGGTTTTGAGTTTGTTCCTGGTTTTTTTAAAAAATGGCCAGCATTTCTTTGAATGGTGTTTCTTTGGGTTTTTTTTTTTGTTTTGTTTTTTGTTTACTACATCAGAAGAGGCAGGATTTCAATAAAACAACTGAGTTATTATAATGTTTTAAATTAAGGAATTAAAAAAATAGGTCTCCCCAAATTAGGGACTCTCTCGCTCTGTGTGTGTGTGTGTGTGTGTGTGTGTGTGTGTGAGTGTCTGTCTGAGAGAGAGAGAGAGAGAGAGAGACCCAGTTTGTATATCATGATGGCAGTCATGGACTAGAGGAGGTTTGGGAGGTGGCAGCAAGGTAGCTGGCCTTCTCTGTTGAGACCAGTATCGTACCTTCCTCTTAGGCATTTGGCAACATAGTATGAGGTTTTAATCAGGTTGAAGTTTTTTCCTTGTTGTGGATTATTTAGCATTGATATGTGTCTCTGTGTGCTGACTGTTTATATGCCTTATGTAAAAAGTTGTTTCATCACTTTACTGCCAACAAGCCAATGTTTGTATGCTAACCCATAACCTGAAGGTTTCCTGGACAGTTCACAGTAGAACATATTTTAATGGTTTTTCAACTTTGTAAACCATCTAAAGAGTTTCAGCTACTGGGTAGTATGAAAATGGAATAATTGAAATGGAATAAATGAAACAAAATTTACCCTATGATTCGAGGAGATAAGTACTGAAAACAACCCACTTCTGGTTTCTGTAAACAATCTCCAGTCAGCACAATTGGAGGTTGGCAGTGTGACAGGTGATCCTTGAGAGCTGGCTTATGTAGGGACTAAACTATGCAGTTGTCCAAGTTCACATGTCGTACTACCAACCTCTGATTCCACTGCTTGGAGATTATGTAATACAAACCAGTTGTGGCTTGCAACAGTTGTGGGTTGTTCACAGAAAAATGGAAACACTCTGAACCATGTCTGCAAACTGTGGGTTTATTAGCCCTTAATATACCACCATGACAACAGCCCCAAACTACTCAAGGTTTGCATGCATCATTTGGCATAGCTGTTGCTTGACTTGTCCAGAATTGTACTGCAGGCTCCCCTTTGCATTCCCTTTAAACCACTCTCTCTTTCTTTTGCCTTTGCTTGGCAGCCACGCAGGGAATGCATCAAGGACGACCAGAATGCCAAACTGCTGTGGTATTGTGCCCCATACAGATCCTTTTGAACTGATGTGGGAAATGGTCCTTCTTCCAGGAGCCTGTACTTGCACATGAAGTGGGTTCTCCCCTTCTCAAATCACATCGCCTAGTGACTCAGTCTGAATACCCAAGTAGGTTTGCATGAGTGCAGGCAGCCTTTTTAATAAACCAAATGATTTATGTCAAGGGTGCACAACCCATGGGCCATATTTTATTTGTTTATTATATTTATATTTATACCCCACCTTTGTTCCTTTCAAGGAACTCAAGGAAGTATGGTGGCTTTCCCTCTTCCTCTGCATCTCATCCTCACAATAACAACCCTGTGAGGTAGGTTGGGACTTGCAATCAGTCCCAAGCCACCCCATGAGCTCCATGGCCGAGCCGGGACTAGAACCCAGAGATCCCAGATCTCCAGTCCCTCACTCTTAACCACTACACCACACTGGCTCTCCAAGCTGCCCTTGGCTGCCTCTGTGGCAGCCCACAAATCCAGTATCACCCCGTGCACCTTTTTTCAGCAGTCCAGATTATCTTTATTTATGTAATATATTTATACCCTGTCCTATACGCTAAATGTCTCAGGATGGCTTACAGAAATCAAAATAAGCAATCCATAATCAAAACAACAATTAACAATAATTAAGAATGTACATAAAACCAACAGTAACATACCACCAATGAAAAAAAAGTCAAAAACAAAATCAAGATCAAAACCAAAAACAAAACCAAAATGCGACTGTGGATAGTTAAAAACCAGATTAAAATTCCTAGTTCTTAAAGTGGTGGGCAAATAAAAAGGTTTTCACC